TATATTTCGTACGAATCATTTGCATTCTTCTATCTTTTCGCATATTCATTCGCGTGTTCTATAGATTTTTTTTTTTTTTTTATTATTTAAATTTTTTTCACACACGTCAGCATTATAACGAAGATGTAAATCGTGTTATTTTTATATTCGAAATAAATATATAGATAAAAATAAAAAAATGAATACACGCTAAATATAAGAAAAAGAAAAAAGAAAAACAAGTTTAAGTGTAAATATAGCCCCAAGTTAATAATTTTAGATAACAACTATTTATACATTTAATGTTCCTTCTAATTAATGTAGCTTTGTCGAGCTAATTAACATCTATTGTAAAAAGAATATTTCAATAATTTTGTCTTCTGTTTTAAAAACTTGACAAAATATCTCAAGCATTTTGATATCAAGCCAATTCATCATAGATAGCATTGAGAAATAAAGATCTGATGTGGCCATTAATTCAAATATATCCTACGAAATATATCTTTCAAAGTATTGACCTTACAACAAGCACAAAAAGCGGTTAACGGTTGTCTTTCATTTTTCTTCTCCCTCTTTTTCTTTTTCTTTTCTTTTCTTTTCTTTTCTTTTTTTTTTTCTCCTTTATTTAAAACTAGAGCCATTTCGTTAACTGGAGCAACGGACGTTTGTCCCCTCCACCTCGACGACTGGACGATGGTGGGTCGGTTTGATATTTTGGACGAACGATCGTTGGATATCTGACCGTTGGGTTCTTTTATGGGGGGTGCTTGGGTGGTCTAATTTTATGTGGAGCAACGGACACAGTGGAGGTTGAAATCGTAGAAAGAAGTCGTTGGAAATTTTTCTCCATTTTCTGCCATTACCTAGAATTTTCGAAGATAATTTTCTTTCTTTTTTTTTTGGAAGATACAAGTGAATGCTCGAGGAGTCTGAAAAACGTTTTAACGTTGAAAAAAAAAAAAACGCTCGAAGAGTTGTGAAGATGTTGAATCAAACCATGAAAAAATTCAACTTTGAAAAATTTGAGCGTTCTTTGATTTGATTGGACATCCATTGGACAGGTGCTACAGGTAGAGTGATTAATCGGGGAATGTCGAGCGAATTTTTCTCCGAGAATTATACGTGTTCCGACCAAAGCCTTGAAATTTAACCAGACACGTCAGTTTATCGCCTCTTATCAGAAGGTTATACGTCATCGTATTCTTTACATTATTCAATAGATATACTTGACGAAAAATCGCTTTTTAGCCGTAGAAGATGTCGAATCCGCAATTCTCGAGAACGATTGTATAAAATTCGCGTCCTAGGAAACGAGAAATCACGAGATTGTTCGTAAAAAAAAAAAAAAAAAAAGAGTGAGAGAGAAAAGGGAAAAAAAGATTAACGTAACACGGTAACGCGGTAAAAATGTTGAACATAATAATTGTTGCAGGACATAAAGATTTTTATGAAAACGCGTAATCTTTCGGAAAAGGAGGATCGATAGATTTTTATTGGAGCAAGTTGTATATCCGTCGTTCTTGCAACCGTTACTTTTTATCTTTATTTATTTACTACAGCGTGACTAATGCCGATTTTGCAACAAACTTCGCTTTGACAGAGTTGTTCTTTTTTTTTTTTTTTATGACAATCATAGGTTTTCATTATCATTTGTTTTTTTTTTTTTTTTTCTTAAAACCGAAAAGAAATATTTCGATAATCATCGATGTATAATTCTTTTTTTCAACGTAATCTTTAATTTTATTCCGACACTTATTCTCTCGGGACGATTACTTAGGGATTCTTGTTAAAATTATTATTACTTATTAGAATCTTTCGTAACTCATAATTTATTTAAAAGAATAATTAAAACTTCAATTCCAACCTCTCAAATTGATCGATAACGATCACCTTTGTCGAATGAAAATTTGTACGTATCAAAATAAAGGATAAACAGCTACTGATTAGAAAGAGATTATTTTTCCACTCCAATATTTCCATATTTCTGAGGAAAGGGACTCTCGTCGTTCGCCCAATTTCGTATCCCCCTTCCAAATTAATCGGCTCCGTCAAGAAAACCGAGTGTCATCGCCGATCCCATACATCACTCTCTTCCCTCGTTCTCTTTTCTCGTCGTCAACGGTTCTCCAGTGGCCGTCCGCTGTCCACCTTCGAGGGGAACCGTTTCCAAACGCGGTGCGCACCTTTCCACGCTCGTTTCCTCCAATCGGAGCGAGGATAGGCTCTCTGTTTTATCGAACATTATTTTTCCACATCCGAGCGAGTGGAAGGGTTGAAAGCGCGAAATAAGGGCTGTAATTTAGAAAAGGGTTCGTGTACCTGCGCAACGTTTCACCCCTGGGTCTCTTCTGACCTGCACCCCTCGGATCATCGAAAGGGGGAGGGGAGAGAATCAGGTTTTCCACACGCACGCTCTTCCTCGAACAGGTAGTGGACGACTCGTTGCCCTCGTGCAGGTATATGACCCTCGGATCTTGCCCTGCTCAACCTTTCTTCCAAGTTTCCGGTTTCTCCCTTCTTCCCGAACCACCCTTTTTTTCTTTTCTTTTCTTTTTCTTTTCCTTGCGCCTTTTCTTCGAGAGAGGAGAGATGCGAGATTTTTCGACAAGATTTTGGAGCTTTTTTCTTCCGCTCTTACTTTTGATTATACTCTTTGAAGAAGATGTTCGAAGGAATCATTTTTTGAGTTTTGCTGGTTCGAAGGTAGAAACGTAAGAAGATAGATATTTTTGAGATTTGAGAGATGTTTAAAGATTCGTGAAAATTCGAAGGAAATTTTAGAGGAAATTTTATTATTACTTTTTTTTTTTATTAAATATATATATTATATAATTAAAATAGAAATATTGGATTCAATGGAAATTCATATTGTTAATAATAGTATCGGTCACGAACAGTGTAAGTTTCCAATATAGCAAAGCTATTTTCGAATTATTTACGATATATATTTAATTTTTTTTAATTTTAACGCGAAATATTCAATTGTTGCAGAGACGAATGCCCGAAGAGATTTCCGGATGCTGCGCAAGCGTGATCCCTCGTCTCCTATTGGCCTTTGGACCACAACCAATCCAGATTCAGATCTCCCCACTTCTCGAATGGTCCAGCCTCTCGACCACTTGTCAGAATCACTTTCACGCCACTTCTTATCTTAACTATCTCCCTCTCGATTCCGATTTCCCCCTCCTCCCCCTTCTCCTTCAATTTTAATCACCCAGCTAAAAAATATTCAGAATTATTTCATTATTCTTCCCAAAAATTATATTCCTCTGATATTTGATAAATCAACGTATTATCACGTTCCATAAAAGTCTCGAAATCTTTCTTCATCTTAGTGAGAAAGAGAAGAAGAATCTTCGTATTCGTAATAATAATAAAAAAAAAAAAAAAAAAAAGGAAGAAGAAAGAGAACGGGGACGCTTTTTGCATACGAAGCACGGTTTCTCTGGCGCATAATCGTTGCGCAAGCAGGGACTTATCGTGGCGATGATAAAGAAGACCGGTTTCCTTCGGCCGCGAGGAAAAATTACACGCGAGGAAATACATGGCTCGGTTCGAATCGCTTTCCTCAAACGCAACCGATTGCGAGCCGGTCTACTTTCGACTTCGTAAATCACGCATCCGAGCAACGCGCAAAATGCTTTCGTTGTTTTTTCTTCTTTCTCTTCTTTCTTTCTTTCTTTCTTTCTTTCTTCTTTTTTCTAATTTTTATCTTATTTTTTTTTTTTTTAGATTCGACGAGGGAAACCTGTTTTCTGGAAATTGTATGTAAAGATAAATAGAATGAAATAGATATGAGTTTGTAGCAAAATGGTCTGGTAATGGTTCACTTATATACTTACTTTTTATATTTGTATTGATTTAATTAAGTGATTAGACGTGATTTTTCTTTAATTCTCTTTCCCTCCGATTCTTTTACAGATATATGTTACAAAGATTATATATATTTATTTAATTTTAACGAAGCCAATATTCTTGTTGTGAGTATTTTTCAATTTTATTTTGAATACTATTTTTGTTACATATTTTATCCAAAAGATTTTAACGTGTTCGTTATTTGTTTATATAACTGCTGTTAAAATTTTATTATTGAAAAATTATTATTGAAAACAAAAGTAGAATAACGAATCCAGACTTTTAATTCTCCTAATAAATATCAATCTTAAAATTTATTCCATCCAATGTTACATTTTTTATACATAATTTATTTTTGTCCAAAGTAAGCCCCTAAAGATGATCGTTATCACTTTATATCCAATCCCTCTTAACTCAATCCAAATTGAATTTTAAATATTTACTTTCTAATTTTAATTTTAAAAATTGCCAAATCCAACAAATAATTTCCACCGAACGTGGAAACGAACATTAAAAACATTTCTACGTCAATTTTTCATTTTATTACATTATCTTTGGCATTATATTAACAACGACGTTCACTGCAAAATTGTCTAAGCTGAAAGGTCGGTTGAAATGACTAGCTTGAAACACGGAACGATAAGAATGAAACACGAATTGTCTCTTGCTTGTAATTACATGAAAAACAGAATCACCTTGGTACTCGTGTGATAATATACCTCCACCGGTGTATTTACACTATTCTTAGAAATACTATCGCCAATGTGTAAATAAACGTCGCTCGAACCAGAATGCCAGGAGAAAGTAAATACTACGGATTTTCGTTTCCATTTCGATGATACGGGAATAATCTCTTTTTAATTAATCCTTAAAATCAAAAAGAAAAAACGCTCAAGAATGAATCACTAGAATTTAAATTAGAGAGAAATTCTTTTCTAATCAATTTTTTATAGAAATAATTTTTTGTCTTCTGGAAGGAAAGAATAATCTATTAAAATTTGAGATCTATTCTTATACATAGATTTTTAGAGTGTTTAATTTTATAATTTATATTATATGTTAAATATGTAAAATGTGGATATACATAAATGGAAAGAGTATCTATGGAGTAAAATTTAAGCGACATATTTTTAAAATTAAGTAACATAATTTAAATTTTGTTATAGGATTACCAAGGAAGATACTGAGTTCAGAGTTAAGAAAATATTCGATAACATACCATTGATATTGAAGGCATATTCCGTCGTCTTAATCCGTACCGAGCAGTTTGTATGAAACTCACATATAGGTGTGTAGTCATGAGATGTTTAACAAGGTTTCGCAGAGGTACGATGAATTTTATTCGATTTTATCGGTGACCGACATTCTGGATTCGACTTCCAATGGAACGATACGCTATTTATAATATATCGATGTTAATATTAATAATTTAATTCGATGATCAATACTATGATTTGTTCTAAATAAATAATAAATTTCTTCTAGAACTTTTCCTCTGGATATTGTTCCTTCATCGTTTACATCCTTTACCGTTTAAAAAATCATCCATTCTGTAACAGGTAGTATAATATTATATTACTTTCTTCTTCATCTATATAAAAATTAAAATTTACTTTCTAATAATGATTATTTGATTTTTATAATTTCAGAAATGTCCAGAGGTGTAATAATTGTACACGTTATGATTGAAGTGTACAGGTATCGAGGTGATCTTTTCATTATGTGTATCAAACATTTTATTTAATATACACAGAGACTCTATCTTCGATTATCAAATAAATATTGAAGATAGAATCTACATTTTTTTATTCTACTATATATACTTCTATATATCTGACTTTATCTAAATTCCAAGCACTTGATTGATCTCTTAACTCGAATGATTTTTCTTTTTTTTTTTTAATTAAATGAAAATAGAAAAGTAGAGCCTTATTCAATTATTCATCCTTGTTCGGTAAATTTCAATGAATGAATTCAAAAAATGTGGATATCTACAAGCATTATCTTCCATTCATACATTCATGACAAGTATATATTTTTCAAAACCTTTCATTCTTTGCCGCATAATATCTTCTGCTTTCCTATCTTCATACAACCATTTTATTTTATTCCAATTTTTTTTTTCTTACGCATAAAAATCTCAGTGAACACACATATTATAACTAAAATTAATCAAAACCGAATCAATATCACTGCCAATAATCTCAAAATCATCCTTCCTTTTAAACGCATCACAATCCACTATTTGCATACAAGATTATCTCGTTTCATTCATACATAAAAATTTCAATAAAGAATATCTGCAATTCAAGCACAAATCCATTAATAATAAATCTTCTAAATTTATCATGTTAATTAAAACAATTCAATAATATGAAAAATTACTCACAAATCGTTTTTCTCACAATCTTCCACCCTTTGCTCTCATCCATCTATCTTCATATCTTATCCTTTGCCTCGAAAGTGTCTAGTCAACCGGTGAGGTTGAAATCGTTTAAGAAATCCAGTTCAAAGATATCCGTTGCGTCAAACAGGAGGAAAGAGGGTCGACCCTTCCATACGTGAAATAAAAGAATCGACCCGTCCCACCGATCGTTAACTGGAGCACGAGCGAAGGGTGGGTTCCATACGGAGGTCGAGCCCACAGTTTTCATTCATACGCGACGCATCGCCGATCATTGGTGTTCACCTTGAGATCGTCGAATGACAACCTCGTTGGAATTTCCTCGGCGAGGAATTCAGATCGCTTCTGGACACGGTCCAGGAATGTTCCTCGCTCTCTCGCGTCTGACATAACGGTGAAATACAATCGACGGCCCTCTTATACCAGTATATTCCCCCTCTTTCCTCCCTCTGCGTCATCGTTCAATCAAACGATTTCTTACTTTCTGCAAACGTGTAAGTATCTATTATTTTCTTTCTTCTTGTTTATTTTTCCATTTCATTTTTTGATTACGAGTGAACGGAGGTGAATGGGAGATTGCTTGAATTATTATTCTGATTGATATATATTTCAACTGTCCTATCGTTTCGTGGTTGATTTTTCCTCTTTGTTTGAATCTGAATTAGATTCTTTTCTAGACGCATGAATAATTCGTCGTCGTTATTTTTATTTATTTCTATTTTCGAACGTGAACGAGTATAATTGGCATAAGTGAACGTTTCTCCGTTTATTTCCTTCTTCATTTCTCTGCGTACTATCGTACATTATCGTTTTATCGTTTTATCGTAGCTTTTAAATTTTATCTGACTGAATAATGTTTCTATAAAGTGGTAATTTTTATCTATTTTTATGTTTAATTCGAGTGATTATACTTAATATAAGTGTTCCTTTACTTTTTTTGCTTTTTCCTCTTATTTCATTGTAATTTTTCCTTTTTCTATACTCGAATTATTTTTTCTTTGTAAATATATAAATAACTCGAGAATATTCATTTTTAAATTTAATCGCGAATGAATATATTCGACGTAAGAAAGTGTTCCACTTATTTTCCTCTTCCTTCTTCTGCACACTATCACCATTTCACCATGATTTTTCTTCTTTATTTATCTAAATTATTGTTTCATAAACACAAAAGTAAAAGTAACGCGTGAATCATTTTATTATTTTTACGTTTCAACGCGAGCGAAGTATAATTGTAAAGTCGAGAGAGAGACGCGACCATTGTTTTGGTTGCAGAGACGCGAATCGATTCCGTTCGAGTAACTGCGACTATCGATCAATCCGCTGACTCGATTGGCAAACAGAGAACGATCGCGCGTATGAGGCGTCGGAGATTCTGACCTGTACAGCCTCGGAAAGGTTAGCTTCGTTGGACGATCGACGATACAATGGGTGAGTAATATTCTCATTTCGTTTTGCTTTAACATTTTTGCGCAATTTATCGAACTATATGATGATCCATGCTTTGAGTGTGTAAATACGTATGTTTATATGATATATGAACATATATTATATGCCTACGTCAGGGTTGCCACCTCTGTAATTTTGGAGATTACGAAGTTTTATATAGAAATTTCGTGACTCTAGAAACTTCTTTGAAAGATCGAAGAAAATCTTTAGGTTTGATTTTAACGCGTAAAGGTTACGTTACGTTAGTGATATTCCTTATCCTATAAGAATATTATTTTCTTTGATAAGAGATTTTAAGAATCAACAACATATCGCATTGAATAGTTTTTTGCAAGAATATGTCAAAGGCTTGTTGCATAAAAATTTATTGGCTGATAATAATGAATTGAGAAATTACGATTTATAGGTTAACTTTTTTCCTTTTGATTTTATGATTGAAATGAAACAATCGGACAATTTATAATTTATAAAATTTAATTGTAAAGTTTCGTTTATCTTATAAAATTTGTTATTCGTGTGAATAGATCGAATATAAAACTCGGGATTAGAATTATATCATCAAAATTATTTTGAAATCTCAATATATACTCGAGACTCTGAATTATCTGCGTTTTCTCAGCTCGGTTCCAAGTAAAGATAACATCCAACAAGGTCTATCATTGCCAAGGTCTATCTTGTGCCAGATTACTTAAAGATCGATCAAAAATATTCGTCAAGAATCTATAAAAAAAATATATTTTATTACAAAGTTTTGAATGTATCATATATTTAACTTTTAAAAAGAACTGCATATTTAAAATAATATATTTATGGAAAACGAATATTATTCATAAAAAATTTGCAATAATTTCAATCTAGGAATTATTTTTAGATGAAAAAAATTTTCATAAAAATCGGTATTTATGAATAAAATTATTATTAATATTCAAAATATTAATTTTAAATTGATATTATGTTGAATAATATTATAAATTTAATTAAGGAATAATTTTTTTGCATAAATTTGAATTAACAACAAATAATTTTATTAACTAAATTTCGACAATTAATTATTAATTTTTTCGAAATTAATTAATAATATTTATTGATTAATCTTCGTACAATTTTCGTACAAAATTTCGTACAATTTCTTTAAGATACTGAAAACTGAGCTCGTTTTATATTCCAATATTTCATATGTCGATATATTTATTTCTCGATCGTATTTTTATTGATAATCACAGAGATGAAACGTGGGAAGAGTAAAGGTGGGAAAGGAAATAAAAAAAAAAAGAAATATAAAACTATTCAATGCCCCATATACTCATAATATACTCATACCACTTACTGTTTATCGTATAAAAAGTACAGTAGATGTTATTGATAAGCATGTGTATATGAAGATTATCAATTGACAATCTTTTTCGAACTTTTCTCAAACTACGTGATTGTCCGTTGCTGTCAAGCGACTAGACGAATCAATCCTTCGATTCTTGATACGTTTCGATAGATTATCGATAAGTCGATTTTTTCGATAC